ATTATATCAAACAGTTACGAGACGGCCGAAGCGTTTCCGTACAGGAAGAGATTATCTCAATGATGATTTATCGATTTGCTCGTTCGACTTCCGAATTGACAGATGAAAATATTGAACGAGTTCGACAAGTTATTAACAATGATACGCATTCAAATTATGGTAATATTATAACTGACACTTCTCTCTCTCTCTCTCTCTATCGTTCATGGTACAATAGAACGAATTGTTTATGATTGTCTAAAGATAAGAAAAGTTACATCATGTTAGATTGTGCATCAACTAAACAGTGAACAAAAGCAAGCATAAGTTAGAATTTGTCGTGGAAATATGGCGACATTTCTCAATGGTTATCTAATGTTATTATAGGTGATAAAACATGGATCTATCATAAAGAAGTTTGATCTAAGTCAACTAACGCTAACTAAATTAGTGAATATAAATTAGACAAAGCTATTGTTCGTCGAACTAGATTTCAGTCTAAAGCTTTGCTTTATATATACTCTTTAAATCAAATGATCCTCTTCTTATGCATACAATGAAAATAAATGCAAGACTATTGCTCACAACCGTTATTTTGAAAATTGTTTTAAGCCTATTTTAAATGAAACATGGCAATAGAGAAAGTTATTGAATATAAAAATCATAAAACTTCTTCATGATAATGCTAAACCACATACTCATTCAGATATTTAGTGCTGCATCCACTATTTTTAGTAGATCTTGTGTCGTGTGATTAATGGTTAAATGATTATGTTAAACATCAGTTAAATGACTCAACAAATAAAAAAAAATCATATGAAACTTTATATAAACAATTATGACGACTATTTTGAACATTTAATAAAACTAAATGAAAAAGTATCTCTTTCTTTTTATGTCTCAGGCCGCACTACAATGGCATTGTAGCATTAGATTGCCGATCAAAAAGCAACTATAAAAAAATAGAATTAGGAGTGAGGTGAAAGTATGCATATTACCAAATAGAAGGCTCGATACCTATATGCTATTCAGTGTATATGGGAAGCAAATCCATTTGAAGAGTAACTGTTATGTTACTGACTATATCATAGTAGAATAGCAATCAGAGAATAGTCAAACATTTAAGTAATAAACTACCGATGGTTTTTATCTGATTTAAATTCCATAGCATTTTTATTTATTATTATCAGGATTTGTTATCAATCCTACGTATTTTTGAAAATATCTGTATAAAATACGCACTTGATTTTTAAATAAGATAAACTGATACTTTTTGTATTCATACCTAAGATAAGATTCAGCAATTCGATTCATTCTTTTGAAAAAAGCTCTTGATGTATAATAACCACTCCAATAATGATCAGCACGATCAGCATATGTAAAAAAATCTCCAACATAACTTGGAAATTCTACATGAGATTTTTCTTGTGAGATTAGTTCAAAATAATCACTTAATGTACCATATTGAATCTAATTTTTTTATTTATTTATAAAAATCAATATTATCTTTTAATAAAAGAAAAAAAAAAACATAGTAAATCTTACATTAACATTCCAATCAGTTCGTTTATTCATATATGTAATTAATTGATTATAATTGTCAAATTGAAGTTTAGCTTCATATTTTGATCTATAACGAATATCATCACCTAATGGAATAAATAAAACATTTGTTCGATATAATTGAGATTTTTTTCGATATTGATCTAATAATAATTCAGCTCTAAAGAAATAAATTTTTAATAATAAATTAGAATGAAAACTTAATTTACCTTTCATGAGTATTGTTTTTATTGATAGATACAGGATTTATACCCCATGAACAATCTGCATATGATTTAACTCCTCGTCGAAAATCAAATTGACAACATATTTTTGGATCTGGACCACATGTATGTGGAATATCATAACCATAAAATGGAAGAATATGAGTAAATATTTGTGTAGAAATACTTCGATCTATTAGAATTATATTAATACATTTATAAAATAAAATCGAAAATAATTTATTTACCCCATGTTTGTTGCCAATAGAATTCCAATTTTTTCTCTTTTGCTAATGCTTTTTTTATATGATAATGCACTCTAAATCATTATCAATAATTTTATTCAATTATTCATTAGAATTTACCGTTGAATAGCCATATAATTTATGCCTGAACCTTGTAATAAATAAGCCATAGTTGGCGAATAACCAAATGGATCATTAGCCCAACTACTTTGTACTGTAATATTTCCTAAATAACAGAATGAAATAAATTAAAACAAACGAAAAAAAAAAAATAGTATTCTAACCAAATGTATTGTCAATAAATTGATGTCCTTCAATAAGTTGATCAAGCATAGCAAAATAATGTGTATTGGCTTCATCATTCATTACCTAAGAAAGGAAATGAAATAACAAGCTTGAATACAAGTGTAAATGTGCCAGATTAGTTTAGTTGATGAATAGCATAAAAACTGACAAGTGAACGCTTTTAACTAATCAATCGCTTGCTTACCAAAAACTTGTGGATTGTACTTATCAATCATGCTGATTTTAAATATGAGCATGAGAAATCTTCATTGATCTTCATATTCTAGTTTTCTAGACTTTGACTTCGAGTAATTTTTCTTTGTAGAAAAGCTGTTAGCATAATCTCTGCACGATCAAAATATGAAATACGATATTGTTGCTGTTCCTAATCACAGAGACACCGTCTTATTGTATTTTCGAATACATATCTTCACCACCGTTTTAATTTATCCCTCCAAAAATGTAGCAAGGAAGTAGTTTATATATTATAACGAGGCGTTATTGATATACAATCTATGATCGTATATCAAACAAAGTCTCTCCCATGAGAGATCAGGACTAATTTCTACTCCTATATTGCAACATTCGTTCTAGATCATGTTTTCACAAAATACAGTCATTTCAATTCATTCAATAGATACACATCAATATTTCAATGTGAGAATTTTCAATATGATATTATTTTCCTTAAAACTCTTTTTTTTTTGGCAAACAGAAAAAATTATTATCTTATAAATAAGTCGAGATGCTCTATAATCTGATGGGAAATCTCTCAGATATCAAATCAATTTTCGACGGGAAACGATATTCATTTGATAAGTACCAGTGCGTCATAGAAAAGTCTAGAATGACTTAGCTTTTTGAACCTTCGTTCTTGAAATATTGAAATATGACTTGATTTTTCGTCTTCTTCAGATCACGTAGAAAATCGACTTTCAACTTCAAACTTTTCACGAAAAAGTTCTTAATGAGTGTAGTCGATTGTACAGGTTTTAACTTTCCTGTTATTTCCTTTTTGAAGATGTAAATCTATGAACGAAATCTGTTTTTTTTTAAAGATGAGAGTATTTCGAGTGTTCAATGTCTCAGGATAGAAGATACTAGAAAAGTTACAAATTTCTCAATGAACTTATTTCATTGAGATCTTCATTGGTGCAAAGTTTGAAGTCGAAACTGAAAAGTTGAGTTTTCACATGACCTCAGGATGACGAGAAATTCAGAAAAATTTCGATATCTCAAGAGCGAAGAATTAGAAAATCAAACAATTCTAGGCTTTTCTATTACTCATTAGTACTTATCAAATAAACATTATCTCAGTCAAAAAGTGCTTAAGACAAAATGATAGTTAATGTGGAAAACGGATTTTCTAGAAAACGACCATATAAAAACCTAAATGAATTTTTTTATATTCATATTCGGAATCAGCATGGTTAATAAATCATGATTCAGGTAGGTTTCGATGAGAAAACGACTGATCAACTAGAAACTCTTTCTCATAAGACTTTTTTAAAGATTTTAATCGGATATTAGATGATATCTTTTATCTTGCTTAGATGAATATTCTTTTACTTGCTTACCCAACCACCAGTAACAATTTCAAATTGTTTATTATTCAAAAATTTTTTTAATAATTGACGTTTATCGTTTGTTGCTTGATTCCACCATAAGCTTAAAAAAGACATTTCAGCCCAAACAAATTTATATTTTGGATTTTCATTAAGTACTGTTATCATTGCATCAAGAATACGTCGTACTGCATGCATAAAATATTGTTCATATGTATTGAGCCAACCTAAGGACATAAATCAAATAGAATATATTTGATTCAAAATTTTACTATCCATTTCAAAATATAATTTACTCCATTGTTTTTTGAATAACTTTTGATAGAAACATCATAGAGACCTGCACTTTTCACCATTTAATAGAGAAGAATCAGAGTCGTCAAAGTATATCGAAATTTGATTAACAAATTATGTGAGTTCTTCATGGAGATTTTCGAAAATGATATTTTGAAGTTATTTCATTATTGATTCAGACTTTTAATAGAAAACGTTCTTCTCTTTCGATTTATGCAAAACTGACATTTCTAGTTTGTTCTATTCGAGAGTTATAAGATTTTTTCCGAGATCCTCGATTTTTTCACGTGACCTGTGAGCACTCGGAAAAGCAGCCAGACATGGGTAATTGGTTATGCTAAGTCGAATTACGATATTTTACATGCGATCTAACCTGACACTATTATCTCAATATTTTCGAAATGCCAAAACCTTCGTTATATGGAAGGTGACTGTGAAATTTCAGGAATATTGAGATAACAGTGTCAAGTCATTTCGAATCTAAAAGCGAATATTACTATTCGACTCATCATGATGAACCACCACTGTTTAGCTACTTTTTCGAGGGCTCACATGTGAGATGAAAAACTCGAGAATCTCAGGAAAAGTTTTATAACTCTCGAATACAGCAAGCTAGAAATACCAGCTGTGTGTAGATCGAAAGAAAGAAATATTTTCCATGGATTAGTTCTATTAAAAGTCTAAACCAAAAATGAAGTAATCGAAGGATATCGCTTTCGAAAATTTGCATTAAAAACTCACCTGATGAGTCGTCAATTGCTGACTAATGAAAGTTCGATAGACTTCGATGGTCCTGGATTTTCTCTCTTGAATGATGAAAAAAGCGCTGACCTCTATGATGCTCCTATCAAAGATTATTTAAAAAATCACTGGAGCATATTATATTCTAAAATGATTGGTAAATAACCTGGATCACAATGTGAATGAGGCATAATAATTATTTTTAATTTATTATTTGATGTCCATTGTGATGTATTATATTGAATATCAAAACCTTGTATCCATACGCCACCATTTTGATTATCAAATGGAAGATTATCATATAATGCTCGATTCTATGAAAATAGATAAAATTTTTATCTAAACTTTAACAAAAAAATTATCCTACGTCGAATGTAGTATTCATTGGAGACGACATTCGCCAGGCACATTGATTATTACTATGATTAGATTTGAATGAAATTGTTTGAGTATTATTTTCAATCGATTGTGAAACTGTTTTTTCTTTAAGACTATCAGCTAATAAATTTGATTGTTGTTTTAATGTTAATTTTTGTTTTTGTTTTTGATTTGCATATTTAATTGATTTATCGAGATCTTGAATAGAATCTTCAAGAGAATCGAGACGTTCGTTAATTGATTGTTCGCGTAATTTCTATAGAAAATAAAAATCAATTCAAACTTCATAATACAGTAATATTCGTAATATTAAAAAGAAAAGCATTTTTTTTTAATTACTTGTTGTTCATCTCTATCTGTACTAATTGACTCAAGCATTGTATATAATATAATAACCATTGAAAGAAAGAAAACAGGAAGCAATAAACGAGTATACCATAGATGGCTCATCTATAATATATAGTATAAAGATCAATAACAAAGTTCTAAGATGTTATGTTCAACTTCGAAATCGAAAAAATAATGTCCATATAAATTCCTAAACTATTGAAAGACTATAAGCAAGTGACTGGTATCAAAGATCGAATCGAATCGAGTTTTACTGATTCGGTTCATCTTTGTGCTCGTAAAATAAGCTCGAGTCTGGTCAATGACTGTTATCTCATTCCAAGTCAAATGAGTGCATTCATCGCTCTACATTTCTTCCCTATTCAATCGTCGAACTCGAGTAATTTAAAACTAGTTATGTAGGATAAAATAGGAAAAAAATTCCTAAACTTTAGTCTTTTGCTTTATCTCAAATATTTTTATATTTTATAATGAAAAGTTATTATTTCACTCTGATTTTTTGTGATTTTCTAAAATTTATTATAAAATAACTGTTCTACTTCAATGTATATTATCGAAATTATTTTATTTCGTCAGTAATTCGAACTCGACTAGTATAATTTTTGTAAGTTAGTTCTAAGTGCATTTCAGAATAAACAAGATTTTGCTCTTTTATTATTTATTTTAGATCATTCAATTATTTGATATTGATTTAAACAATAAAACTCGCTATTATTTTTTTAATTATTTTCTTGTTGAAAACAATATAATAACATACTTCACAAGATTTCGTTTTTGTTAATATTTAATGGTAAAGTCATGTTTTTTTTACAACAGTACGTAAAACAAAAATAAAATAAAATAAAAACTAATGGCATCAATTAAAGATTAGTATTTAGTATAAATTAGTTTTGTCAGTATTAAAAAAAAAGAGAAGATGATAGATTGAAGAAAAAAGAAAAAGCAAAAAACAAAACGCGTTTGGTATAAATTCAATTGTCTTTGTTCATGTTCATAGAAAAAGCACATCAAACAAAAAGAAAAATAATGATAATTATGTATATAAGGAAAGTATGAGTATTTGAGTTTTGTCAAGATCACTGTTATCTTTTTTGTTGTTATTATAGATAAAGTCCATTGATTAAATAATCAGCATCAACAGCATAATTTTTCAGTCTACGGCCATTTCGTACTCTTCGACAATAACAACAGAGTATAATAAATAAAATAATTGTACATAGAAGGCCCAAAACAAGAAATAAAATAACAGCTGTTTCACGAAAATATGATTTTTTCTCTGTTACGATAACATTAGCTAGAATAAAAATAAACAAAAATAAATCCTATTTGTTTATTTAACCATTATTGAATCCGGATTTCTACTGATGCATTTATCAATTTAACTCTTCAAAAAGCATCTAGTCCATCTAAACTGATTTCTTATCAAATCAACAATGATCAATGTCAAACGATGAACAATATGATATGCATGGGACATTTAAATTCTGCTTTGTCTAAACTAATTTTTGTGAATATTTTCAAGTAGATAAACTCATAAAAGCACACGGCATGCAAAGAAGGATAAAGATATATTTTCTAACATGCAAGAAAAATGATAACTGATTAGACATTTATTAGTAAAAATGAGAGATTTTCTCTATGTTGATGCAATACTTACCAATTGTTGATGTTAATTTTTCATCAATATTTTTCGTTATTGATTTCGTATAATATGCTGAATCCTTTTTAGGTATCATAATTGTATAATCTTGATGTGATGCTAATATACAACTACCATTACAAGCAAATAAATAACATTTATAACCATCCTAAATGAACAATAATAAACAAATATTTAAAATATAATATAATATTAACTTACATGAGTAGGTTGTTCGCTAAGCATAGCTAAATCACAAGTTGTTTCTTCACAACAATTAAGCATGCAATTATCTTGAATATTCATATTTGATGATAATGATCTTTTATCAATAAGAACATATCGTATCATATGTGCACCATTTTTTAATTCTTTTACTTTAACTAATTGTTCAGATTTAATATCATATTTATTAGTACATAATAATGTATCAGATAAATCATTTTGTTTAATTGTTGGCTTTGATGATGGTATTTTTTTATCTGTTATATCATCGTTATTTTCAGATTCTTCGCTAATATCATCGTTTTGATCAAAAGGTTTTTTATGTGATGGAGACAATTTTTCATCTTGATATGATGATGGATAATATTGTTCATCATCATTTTGATCATAAAAATTTTGCTTATGTGGACGACGCTTATGATTATAGTTGGTATTCAGAATATCATCTAAGTCATACATATCGTCATCATGACGACGTAATTCAATAGAAGAGATTAATAAAAAGAGAAATACAATTAAGATCTTCATCTAGAAAGTAAATTTTTCATAATTAATAGTCTAATATCTCAACAAAAACAAATGAACTAGTATAGTCCTATTGTACATCGGTAATTTTTTTCTGACGATTAAAATGGGTATTTCAAATCAAAGAAATACTTTATATAGAATTCCTTATTTTAGATTGAAAAAATTCAAAGCTCATGATTATATTTGTAATCTTTTTCTCTTTTTAATATTTTGTTGTAAAACAATTGGAATTAAATTTGATTTCTGTACAATGTCACGCATTTTAGTACGAATTTCATTCGTTGTTCTTTCAAATGATTGTAACGAAGACGATTCAATCGTATTAGTAGAACATGATATTAAATCAGTTTTTGGAATAAGAGTTGATTGTTCATATACAATTGCACATTGCTTTTTTCGTTTATTTTGTCGAAAAGTATTCATTGTTCTTTTTTTTCCTTTTGCATAATTATTGATTTCACTTCTACGTTGTACAATTGTTCTTCGTTCGTTAAATTTTTCTCTTAAATCATCTAAATTTTCACATTCAGGTGCATAACATACATGTAAATTTGATCCCATAAAATTCATATCATCAAGACGACATTTTGCATTACGTGCTTGTTGTATTTGTATAAATTTAATTAAAATCGTATCAAAAAATTCATCACCTTGTGTTGAATCTTTTCGTATATATCCATCTAATCTCCAATATTGTTCAATTTTTCCATATTGATTAAAATATGGTAACAATTGTTCAACAACACCAGCTATCGATGGAATATTTTGTATAAGAAGATATTTTGATTCTTGAGCTATTGTATAAACTTTTACTGCACGTAATTTTTTACCGTTACGATATGGTGGACGAGTTAAACAAACCTCATCTTTAACATGATGATCATGTGATTGAAACATCTAAAATGAAAAAAAAGGGACTAGACAGCTATCTTTATTTGAATAAGTAAATAAATCATAAAAATACGTTAAGTAAATAAAATGTAAAATATATATATACAAAGAAACAAAAACAACAGTTTATTAAATAATCCTGAAGCTAGGGAAGCAGGAAATAAGCATATTTATTTTTCGTTGATGGTGTTGACTAGAAAATTGATTATCTTTGTTAGTATGAATATGCAAATTGAAAATCAGCACCATGTATGTTTCTTTTTTGAGCAAGGGTGAGATTGCCAATACGCGGAAGTATATATGGATATATATATATGAATAAAATATATATTAATATAAATAAATAAATTATTTTTTGGTTTCTTGTTTACTTGATAAACGTTTTTTACGTACTAGAAATAAAGAAATAAATAGTTTTTATTCTTTTGTTGATATATTAAAAATTTATTTACAAGCATCAAGATTTTGTTTAAGTTTTTCAGTAACACGAACTCTTGGTCCAAGAGTATCAAATTGTAAATTTAATCGAAGAAGAGTATTATTTTGAGCAATAGCATCGGCAACTTCCATTTCTACTCGGTTACCAAGAATTTGAGAACGCTTAAAAAAAAACAAAAATAAATTATTAATAAGAAAAAACAAAGAGAGCAAAACTAATGTTGAAGGTGTGTAAACTACAAAAAACAGGTGCATGTATATGTGTGTGTATAAGATCAAAAACTTATAGTTACACTTTTTTTGTTTCTGAATGAATCAATCAGTCATTCGTTAGCTGAAAAAATGTAAATAGAGGTTAAAAATTCATTAGATATTATATCAAATTCTTGCTCATAGCTAGATTTAGAATTATAGTAAAATCATTTCAACATATCTCGTATTAAAATATCTTTTATATGTTAAACTGTCTTGAAATTTAATTATTATGAATGAAAGATGTTTTAACATTCTGTGAAGCTGATTAATGTATCTAGTTCGTATATCCATTTTTATTTGTTATTTTTGAAAAGTAAATATGAATAAGTTAAAGGTACTCTCATCCATGAGCATGATACGCTTCATTGCCCATGATACTAATTCGTCCGTGAGAATATCAAAACTAAGAATGAATCATTTACTTTACATTCAAGGGATATTACCAGTCGTTCCTTGTATTTTTCTTTTAATTTTCAGCTTGTCCGAAATTATCTATCTTGATATTTATTCGTTTTCAAAATATTTTTTTGGATTTTAAAAACAGAATTAAAACTAATATTTTTATTAACAAAATGAACACATTCATTTTATATTCTATTCAAGATAGTTCTGTTTATTACCATTACCAATATAAAATACAACATCAAAATAAGAGAAAAATTTTGTTCAGAAATCTTTATTTCTTGGTAAATGTTTCTTTTTTCGATAGTATAAAATAGAATAAATAAGCATCTCAAATTTTCAATTCTCTTAAAATACATTAATCTGTTCATTTAATTCCGTTTACATAGCTTATTTGTAATTCATTGTATGACAAGAAAACAAGACATTGAGAAGTATGTCATCATGAATTATAATACATCTCTTTTGTGTCAATTATAGTATTATTATTATTATTATATATTAAACATAACTATATTCAGAAGCCACACGAGGATCTCAAGATTGGAAAACGTGTATAAGAAAACATCTCATAGTAGTAGTAAAAATTTCAAAAGCTCTTAATAGGTTCACTGAATAATAATGAATAATTTTCAATTTCGGGAAGGTGCACACTCCGACCCACATTCGTGGCTTCTATCGACATCTGCTTGATATTAATTAGTTGATTAAGACACATTAAATTTGCTATTTTCAATTTTCCAAATTGATTTGATCCATTTGAAATAAATGTATTAGATTTTTTTCTTGTTAAAAATTTTCAAATTCGAAATCACTAAAAAAAAACTTTTTACCTGATTTGTTAAACGTAATTCAATTAATGTTTGATTCTTCAATGTACTTCGAACAATTTCAGTAATAACCGGACCTGTTAATCGATTTGACTGAACATTAACTGTTTTCAATGTTGAATTCGCTTCAAGAAGTTCTGCAAGAGCCTAATTCATAAAAAAAATCAACGTCAAATATTAATGTTCTCTAAAATCAAGATAAAATTCTTACTCGACCAACACTATCAGTCATACCAACATTAGCCATTTCAAGAACTTCAAGATGTGTATTTTGTTTTAATGAATTAAGTAAATCTTTCAGTACATCAGCTTTTATTCCTTGAATATTATTTAAATTAATACGAATAAGTTCTTTTTCATCAGCTTTCGCTTTTACTATACATTCTTCAATACTAGTTGTATTATCTGGTTCTGGTGGAATTAATTTTAATGGTTCACATTTAGCCGCAGCTTAAAGAAAAATTTCAAATTATTTTATTAAGTTTTGTTGTTTATTTTTTTTTCATACCGTTCCAACCAGCGGCATTTGTTGATATAGGTTTATCGGTTACTGCAGCATGATATTGTACTTGATTAATTAAACCAGTAAAACCAAGAATAGCTGAAAAAAAAAATTTAACCGTAAATACTAAAAAATTTCAATTTCAATAAAAAAGACAAACCAGCAAGTTCAACAATTTCTGATTCACTTGCATTTTTTAATACATCATCCCATTCAGTTGGAGCTAAAAATTCATCATCTTCATCAGGAGTTGGCTTTGCAACTTCAGGTGGTTGCCAAACTTTTCCTTTCTTTTCACCGGGTACATGTGGTTTGTGTTCTTCCCAATCTTTTTCACTTTTTCCTTGTTCAGTTAGAAAACTTAAAAGTTGATTACGATCATATGAACCAGTTGGCTCTTTATTTGTTCTATATTTACAACGATCACTTGCTGGTAAATAAGCATTCTTAAAAAGACAATTATTATTAGAATAAAGAAAATAAAACAAATTAAATGAATTATTAATACTTCTGGATCAATAAGATCATTAATATTTTCAAGTTCTTCAGGACTGAGTGCATCTAAAAGTGCTTCGAAATCATCTATATTCACGTTTTCATTGGAACTTTTTGTTGTTGCCATTGCGTAGATTTTAATCAATGTAACGAAATAATAATAATAATAATAATAATAGTGTAATTTCTAAAAAAGGAAATAAAAATAAATAAACGTTAACCAATTAGGAATAATAGAACAGATGTCAATAGTAAAAGGAGTAAAAGCATTGAATTCATTGGTCATATAAAAGAACCATTCTAAAAAGAAAAATGTCATGTATGTATGTGTGTGTTGTTCAAGTGTTCGAATACTCACGATATTAATGATTTAGCATCAGTTATGTCTATTATTGTTAATTCCGATGATACGGTGAATAAAATAGGAAGAATTTATCTAAGCTATTTATCTTTTGCATTTAGAATAATTCATCACAATTATTTGATTTTGAAAAAGATTGGCTTATTGGTCGAACAATTTTATCAAATAATAATTTCAATTCATTTAATTATATTTTTAATCTCAATGAAAATATAACAAAAGAAAATGATAAAGATATTGTATGTTAGTTTTCTTTGTACAAGTTGCCATGAAAATAATATTGAAACAAAAAAAAATGCTTCTTTGATTCATTTATATATACCTCAAATACGAATTCATAGTATGATTCATTAAGCTAAAATCTATGGATTAGCTCTTCGATGACTGAAGGATTTTTTTCTATTACAGAAAAAGTTTACATTACAATCTTTACACATATAGTGTGAATTAGTCTTCTTTCTAGGTCGTTGACTAGTGTGTGCACATAGAGTACACATTTCCTAAGAAGTTTTTCTATTTGTTGTTTAACGTGTAAAAGATGAAAAGTACTTAGCAGTAAGTCTAGTTGATTAATAAAATAATTGCAGAACGACCTATTGTAAAGCTTGCAGCACCATAGGTTTCTAAGATTTTGCGAAGAAATTGTAAATAATAATCTCAAAAATTAAAATTTCTTTCTGATATTGGCTTTAGAAGGCAGATATGCAACGAACTACATTGAACTAAATATATTTATATTATGTTTAGACTATATCATAATGTCTGTATGTGTAACATGTATGTTGAAAAAAAGTCCATACTAAAAATCCGAAATTAAGTCAAACTA